CGCTCGATGCCGGCGACTTCAAAGGGACGCGGCCGCGCACAAAGAACTCGGCGCCCCGCAGGGGGGGGGTGCGGCGGGGGGGGGAGCGCGACAGAGCAGGGCATGAAGGTCGCAGCTCGGGAAAACACCACCGCCGGTGAGGCGCGGGCGGGTAGGGCGGGCGGGTAGGGCCATAGCCATATTCCGCGATGCAAACATGCACTACACTTACGGGACTAACAACCTTATCCGTTGATGCGCCCGAAAACGCTTAACAATCAAGGAATCAATTAATATCGAGGTAGTTGCCACCAGGGAGGCACTGTGACACTGTGCTCAATGAACTCTCTCGCGCGCTTATTTGCTACGTAAGTTCATAATAAAAATAGATTGTAAACAATACGATTGCCTGACTTGTCCTTCTTGGGCATAGAAAGTTACATAGGAAAGTAGCAGTAAAATACTTTATTGTATACATTTTTGTATTTAATAACAAAATTAGGTTTAATTATATTAAATATGATAAATGGTAACGATCCATGAAACGCCGGAGACGGTACAATAATTCTCAATATCACAGAAGAATGCCCCGAAATTACCTGTAAACATCACTTCTTGGCTGTACAGGTGAGCCAGCCAAAAAGTCATGAACTCGAGCTGCGGAAGCTTACGTGTATACCCCTGAAAACATATTTTTCAAAATATTGTAGAAAGTATCTGCAAATCGATAATGCCGATCGATTTGTCTTCTTACAAGAAGCCATTGATTTCTCTGTATTTGTATTGACGAAGTATTTATAGTGCTTATTGTGCTCAAATCTCTAGAAAACAAACGTGTTTACGACAACCTTATAATAATGTCCTTTAAGGATCCAAAATATACAATCAGTACCCCACCAGTAGACCGAGATGCATTGAATGACGTCTCACTTGCTGCCAATTGTGTACCATAAGAGATCTAACCGAAACTAATTTTAATTTAATATATTTATCGTCAAAAAGTGTGGCAGTGTATGTGTACTAGAGGAGAGATGGTAAGTGGCGGACGATCACACGGGCACACGCAGGCTATACGATAACTATTGGGGATTTTATGAAAAAGAAAAACAGTCGTATAAAACTGCATTAAGTATTTCCCCCTGATCTCAGATAGTCGTGTTCAGAAACTCCTCTCTTGTACTATATTGAACAACTCAGCTTGACTCTTTTAGGGTCGCTTGGGAATTTTACAATCTGTCAAAAGCAATACATCTGGTTTCCAGCAATACAAGAGAACTGCGAATTTTATTTTCTACGAAGAGCAAAATGTCTTGTTGAAAGGTACGGAGAACGTTGTATCAAATATATTTCATATGAAAAGTTATTACGAGTAGAAATCCCCTGGGAAAGCTTCTACTCACTATTCGAGGACCTAAAGGACACGCGAGTTGTTAGCGAAATTTATTCATTTTAATGTTTCTTCTGCGATGAATACTGACCTTCTGGGACAAACATTTCTGTGGAAAGCATTATGGCAAAATAAATTCTCAGACTTTCATTCTTCTGTTCCTCCACTCAGTTTATAATATAATTTATTGAGTAAATATTAGAAGAATACACATATTGCTACAATATATTGATTAGTAACATAAGCCACAATGCTTATGTTAATGCTATGAAAGCAGCAATGCTTCAATGACACCGCATTTGTGTCATAACAAGCTCTCTGTCAGAAAACAATGATTCGTCTATTGAAATGAAATGTGGTATATAATGTGAAAATGAATTCAATGGGTGCTATAATAATATAAATATCAGTTTCTGACGAATAGGTAAAGCACGTATTTAAATACAAAATAAACATAAACATAAAATAAAAAAGAGCAATAATAATGATTCCTTGATAAAGAAACCATTGGAAAAAGAGTAATTAAATGTAAAAAGGAGTCATGATTCAAAAACACTACCCGAAGCAAAAATCAGACCGAAAACCGGACACGAGCCCTAATGAACAGCACGACAGTTCCAGCGAAGTGCAAACTTTTCAGTTCCTGCTGCCACAGCGCCGCACAAATTCATTAAAAGCAAAGGCCCGACCGGCCCCGCAGCAGCAAAGTCTCGCGAGGATTCGCGACCCGCCCCCTCCTCCCCTCC